TTCCGAAACTACTTAGATTCTGAAATTCCGAAATTCTGAGTGTAGCCAGACTGAAGTTCTGAAATTCTTCTAAAATTCCTGATATTCTGAGATTCAGACATTCTGAAATTCTAGAAATTCTAAACATTTTGGAATGGAGACCGTAGCCACAGTGAAGTTCTGAAATTCCAGAAATTATGGAAGATTTTAGTTGAGAGTGTAGTCAGAGTGAAGTTAAGAATTTTTCCATTTTCTTCAATTTTGAGCTCCATTTCCACTTCCATTTCCACCGGCAACCACTTGGCCACTCGTCGCACCACATTTCCATTCCACAATACGGTGATTACTCGAATCAACGACATAAATAGTTTGATCATCATCGACATACAAAGCGCAGGTGTTATAGAGCTGATTGATTCCATTGCCATGACCATTTCCTTCAGCCACAGTGAGACCATTCTGTATCTATTTTGCGAGCTAATTAGAATTTCAGTAGAATTTCAGAACTTCAGTCTGGCTATACTCAGAATTTCAGAATTTTCCAAAATTCTTCACTGCACACTCTGACTATAATTTCTAGAATTCCTGACTGTGTGAATCGCTAAATATCAACAATATTGGGGATTTGAGAAAAATTTCAGAACTTCACACTGTGACTGAACTCTCAATGAAAATGTTTAGAATTTCAGTATTTCACTGCTTCAGAATTTCAGAATTGCTGGAATTTTAGAAGATTTTCGGGTGATGTTAAATAAGTTCTATCTCTTTTCACTTGAAAATGGCAGCAGTGACTGTCGAAATATTGTGAAAATAAATCTGTGATTTGAATGAATCATGATCTTCTCAGCAGTTCTCTACTTCATTTCATTATGCAGAAATAATGCTCGACATTTTTTCTATTTCTTTTGCATCGTATAATATATCGACCTTTGTAGCGATGCTATTGAAAACATTATACTTTTTGTTCAAACGTTTTCGAGAAACCCTTTCGGAAAACCATAGGAGTTTTTCACAATTTTTTCTCAGATTTCTTATAAACTGAATATAGAATAGCACCAATCGTCTACATTATGAAAATTCGAAACTCCATTTTGAATTGGATATTCGAAGCTATCTATCCATGTAAGAAACGAAAGTATTAGTACTTGAAGTTGTTGCGCTATGGCCTGCTTTTGCCAAGATCTGCTAAAAAGTCTGCTTTCGAAAAAGAGTTTTGAAACTTGTTCTGCAATGAAGTTTTCTCTTTCGAATGGCAGCGACTCGAATTCTGTAGCCTTTTTGTTCTCAACTTATTCAAACAATTAACCGAGAACTCTGATCTTTTCGATAAAACTGATAATTACGAGCAGAATTTTGGCTATTTGATCCAAAATTTAGGAAAAATGCGTTTTCCAAACAAATTTAAAATTGTTTTTCTAGTCATATTTGAATTTATCATTCAAGACTGAGCAGGACTGCATGTGTTCTGAACTGCACCTCGGCCTCTCGGAGACGCTATATCAAAAATACTTTTAAAAAACCGCGTGTTTGCGTGGTTTTTTTCACATTTCTGATCTATGTTTCCATGAAAACTACATGTTTTCCAACTTCTCGACATATCGTCTGAAAGCTGGCGTTGCTGCCGTCAGAACACGAACTTTGAAGGTTCTAAGTCGCTTGGCTGAGGCCAAAAACCGTGGTGACCAATTTTGACCATTTCCCAGTAAATGTCGTTTTCTCGGTCAAGACTTGTTTCCTTTTCCTGTTTTTATGTGTGATTCGGACTCAGCACACAATTTTGTTATAAATTTTTTTATTGAAAAAGAAAAAGAAGGATTACGCAAGCGGCTTTCACCATATGTGCGCCTTAAAATGTATAAAAAAGAACGTTTAATGAGCTTAAAAGGAGTAAGGAAGAAAAAGGGAAAGGGAACTCACGCAAGAAATGGCCATTCGGGTTGTTGGATATTCACTTCCACTGTTCTACTTGTATTGGCAGCGAGAGAAAACGTAAACTTCTCAGAATCGCACTGTCCGTAGTATATATCTGCATATCTCGTTCAGAATAACTTGACCCTCGCTCAAACATCTCCCACGAACTCCTAATAAACTAGCCACCGACACACAAGGCAGGAAGCTTAGACCGGATAGCAGATCGGTTCTTTCTAAAACATACGTTGAACAATCTAATAAATAATGCTTTACTGTTTCGTTAGCTCCACGACATGCACAAAGAGGGGATGAAATACATCTTTTAGAGTGTAAATTAGCATTTAGTTGGGGATTCCACATTTCAATCGCATAAAAAGTATTTCAGCTTGTCGTGATGGAAAAATGCGGCTTTTTTTAAAAGGGGATTCACCTCGCAAATCCAAAGCATTCTGTTTCAGCTTTTTACGTAATGGTTTCGCCTTCAATAAGTATAATGTTGGATCTAATTCTTTCCATTTCTTAGAGAGTAGAGTAAAAAAAAGAGCTATGGCGCGTATTTACAGGTTGCGTTATAGTTTGCGTGTTACTTCTTAAATTATGTACAGCATTAATTTGTTGTTGCTGAATTTGAGATCGCAGATATTCTGGGGCAAGGCCATGTACAATTTTAGAGTAGAAAACGATCTGAGTGATATGAAAGTGTTCTTTAATGGATAGCCAACCTAATATAGTCCTAAGTTTCTCTTCCGAGCTACCTCTCATCGCACCCAAAACGACTAAAGAAGCATGATACTGTACAGCCTCCAATTTATCTAGATTGTGTTGAGTAGTGAAAGAAAATAAAATAGATCCATAGTTAAAAATCGAAAGCACCAAAGCCTTATAAATAAGGTCTAGAACCACCCTATTCAAAAGTCTAGAGTGCCATCTCATCAGCCCAACAGGGATTCCCCTCTTGAGGCAATATTATCAATATGTCTGTCCCATTTCAAGTCATATGAAAGATAAAGCCCCAAATACTTAACAAAATCTTTTTCAGATAAAACTACTCCCAGAAGTGATAAAACAGGAAGGGTAAAAGTGATGCTTCTCGATTGTCTGGTAGAAAAACTTATTGCTTCACATTTGATAGGATTCAAAGGGATTTTCCACTTCTTAGCCCATTCTACAACACGGATAAGATCTCGAACCAGCCTTTGAGAGGCAAGAACGAGATCGCTATCGTGCGAAAAAAGAAGAGTGTCATCAGCGAATAATCGAATTGCACTTTCAATTCCTATCGGCAAATCATCAATGTAGATGAGAAATAATAAGGGTCCAAGGATCGAGCCTTGAGGCACGCCCCTGGAAATGCCTCGGGGAGCTGAAGTTACACCGTCAATAAACCATAAAAATTTTGACCTCACCAGCTGAACTTATATGCAATCTGTTCTAGTTGCAATGTTTTCTCTCTCTTTGTTTTTCTTGATATCGACAATATAAACGTCTGCGTTCTGTGGTTACTCTTATACAACCAAATGTTAATTTATAGAGATTCTGCATGGTTTTCGTTTGGTTTTTCTTTTTTCCAAGTTTTTTTACGAAGCACTGGTGCACCAGCCAAGAACGAAAAGGCGGAGACAACTTCTTCTAATGTTTTCTTTTTCATGTCCAACAGATTTAGCGATTTCATAATCAAATTCATAGTCTGAACCATTCATTGAATTATCATCTGTTGAAGTCTGTTGTTGCTGTGGTGAAAAAACCCCGAAATATCGCCTGAATCGTTGGCATTATCTGTATTTATTTGCTGTTGTGGCTGCTGCTTTGATTTCGAACGAGTAATTGGTGCCATGTGTCTAAAATAATATGTTGAAATCTAAAAACAAATATATTGGACACTTTTATTTATAAAATCATGTCTTCGCTGAACTGAACTGAACTGAAATTTATTTTACACAAAGGTAGGATATCACAAAAAAGCACTAAAAGGACTTGTGGCATCCGGAGACAGTTCATGATAACCTAAACTAAAAAGTTTCTAAGAAACTCCTCACTATCTACAACTAAATATCTGCTAATAAAAGTAGTTAAAAGTAAATCGTTTAAAAAAAGTATAACTTGCATTAAGGGTGGATTTCGGTTGGTTTCAAAACATAGAGAAATGTTTTTTCTATGCCATGATGTCGTTGGATTTTTCGATTCAAGTTTAGTTTAGGAGAAATTTAAAAGTTTCCGAAAAGTCAATAAGATCTCTCAAACTTTTCGAAAACTTTCCCTAAACTAAACTTGGAAATGAAAATGAATTTTGACTTCTTTTCCTTTTCTTTGTCTTGCGTTCTATATTAGAGGGGTGCAACGCGTCCTTATCCCACTCCAACCTGACGGGTAGGGTAGGACTAGAGCTTCAAAGTCACAGGATAGCGTCAGGGTTATACGGTCATCTGAAGTCACATCATAGGATACAGCTAGAGCTTTGTTTGACAAATGTGGATGAATCATATCGTCACCACAACAAAGACTGGAGGGAGAAACGGTCGATCACATTATACTGCTAAGAAATTTTAAAAAATGTTGATTTTCATCTATCCCATGTCTCGCTTTTTTAATGAATACCGCCGGTATACTGCGGTACTAATAAATACCGCCAGTTAACCGACGGTATTTATTAGTACTGAGGTATACCGACGGTATTTTTCGATACCGCAGTATAATAATTTACCGGGGATATACCGTCTTCTTTCCATTCACCGTTTTATTTTGCGCTTCCGAGTATATATAATAAACACAGAATTTCAATGAAGAAATTCATTTTTCTAAGTAATTCGTTGAAATGTGAACTTCAACTGAGTCATTCTAATGTCAGAAACTATATTTCGTGTCTGATCATTTGCTACGTCAAACTTGAGTGTGCCTTAAGTTATTGACTTGGTATGCAAGTAGTACTTAATAATAGACCGTTTCAAAAAGACTAAAATAAGTTTAAATCATATTAAGTCAAAAGCTTCTGTGAAATGACGCTGCAGACTAATTTAATATGTAACAAAACAAAAACTTGGAAATTTTGATAGATTCAGGATCATTATACGCCATTGAAAATTTCAACAGAATGCTATCGGTACAGACCGATTATGATTGGGTGCTTCGAGACGCCGATACGGAGCGATGGTGAGTATTAAGTTTTCGATACAAGCAAATTTGTCTTTTACTCTTTTATAAATTTGTTATATTCAGAGACACCAAAAAGATTGTATTGCAGTGAACATCAACCACGAATACCACCATTCGAGTCTCAGACCCAAGGTCAATTACTGAAGCCAATCGATACTGGTAAATATTTACAAAATGTAGGCCAAATGCAAGAAGCGCGAAAAAATGATGAAATTGATGATCAGTTGACATTAGCAATGTACGACGCATGTAACGTTTATCGGGACGAGTACCAAGACAAAAGGAAAAGAACAAGCTATGGCTTTTTAGCGTCGTTTCTTAACTGTGGAGTAATTATTGGGTACGATGAAATGACTAGAAGCGAAGGCATGTGTCGGGTATTAAGGCATCTTATCAGAATTCGAAATCGAGGAAGATTACCCAGCGCGATGCTATATGATGCCGCTTGGACTCTTCATTTGTTCATGGAAAACTAGTTCGACACTGAACATTTTAAAGTGACGGATAATTTAAAATTTTTCAGAACAATGCATTTGGCGATCGATAGATTCCATCTTTCCGGACATACAAAAAATATATGCAAACAACTTATGAATCCAGATGACTCACGCCACCAAGGTATATTCAACAAGATCGATAGCTAGATATGCGAACGCACATTCAGTTATTTGTCTACTTTTAAAAATGTTTTTTGTCAATATAATTATCCTAAAAGTACAATATTTGATCTCGTGCTATTTCACTTAAAAAATTGCTTAACCATGGGAATTTCTCCTGATGCTCAACGACTTGGTGTTCAGGTAATTCTAAATGAATATCGTTGACAATTATCAGATGATTTTTCATGAGTTGTGTCCACTAGATAATTTTCTTTCGTAATATGTTCTTGTTCACTTTGTTTATTTCTACTGTTCATTTAAAAGGTCTGTGCGTGTGACCATTTTTTGAATAATTCGAGAACAAAAAGAAAATACAGACTTGCGATTTACGGCAGCCGAGATAAAACACTTTAGGGTATATTTTCATAAGGAAAAACGGTTTTTGAAAGAACTTCTGAAATTGGTTTTTCAGAGGATCTTTGGAAAACCAGTTTCTACGTCAAATGTTTTACATAGCAATCTATTGATTGAGTAAAAACTGATACTAGGTGAAATAACCGATTTTGGGCTATTTTTTTGTTTTTAGAGGACTCCAGTCAAAAATTCATCGAAAACATTTTTTTGTTAAAAACATTAGAGTGGCAAATGATTCGATTCTGTAGTGTGTGCTGATTCCAAATATGCCTTCATCTTCCATTGAAAAGGTACAGGAAGTGAGAAAAATACAAATAAACAGACTACCTCTTTGCTGAAAATCCATTTTTTGTATAGCTCCATTAACAATGCTTGCCGCAAAAGCGCACTAGCAGAGAAACATCCTTAAAGTAAGTGTTACTTTTAAGTGTACCGAAATTTTTATATTAAAAAAATTCTAGTTCTCAGAGAGCAATTTATTTTGTTCTTTTAAATATCAGGGTTTGTAGAGCCGAGTTTAAGAATGTTTCTCTGCTAGTGCGCTCTTGCCGCAAGCATTGTTAATGGAGCTATGGAAAAAATGGATTTTCAGCAAAGAGGTAGTCTGTTTATTTGTATTTTTCTCACTTCCTGTACCTTTTTTGTTTACATTTGTAAAAATGTAAATGCGTTTTATAGGTATTTATCGAAAAGAAGGATAAATTCCACATATTGAGAGTAAGCGGCATTAAAAGTTCTCTATTTCTGCAGCAGATTTATATTCTAGCAACAGAAAGCTCTTGAAAAATAATAAGTCACTTTGCAGACTATCTTTAAGAAAAATAACGCTTTTGTCAAACATTTGAATGAATATGCAACTATTTTTGTTTACTCAAATTAGTATGTGACAAAGGAAATAGTAAGAAATCTCGTTCAAATTGAATGGAATTTTCAATATTTTACGTTTGAAGAACTCGGTGAAGGAAAGCACCACTCACTCCTTTTCAGTATCTTGTCACATTTTCACAGTTTTATGCCACACAGAAAAAGGTTATTTGATATAAGCTTTATTCTATCAGAATACAAGCGGAAAATATTCCATTATAGTATTCTAAACTAAAACTATCGAAAAACACAAAATCAATTTTGTACGAATAGAGATCCGAATACGTGAACTTAGCTCTGTAGTAAACTACTACAAAACTAAATTCACTGTTCTGTATCTATATTCTGCACAACGATTGAAGTTGTGCAATCGACTCGATGTTATCAGTAGTAATTTTTGTTTTCTGCATGAAAAAATATAGAGATTTCTTTGTATATGGCAGCACGAAAAACTCATTAATACGTGTAAAAAAACTAAGCAAAGTCAAGGAACTACATGAATCACGGATAAAGATTATCTTTTGAGAATTTCTCTCAACCGCAAAACGTCTTCTTGCACGTCAGCAACATGTGATTTTGAAACGTTTGAACTGTTTAGGATTTCTTTAGCTTGTAAATAGTTTTCAAGCGCCAATGGATATTCCATTTTTCTTTCATGCACCATGCCGATACGCTGGTAAGTTGTTGCAAAATGAGGATCTTTTTTTGAGCGAGCAACTTGATCAATACTCAGTGCAATGTTCAAATTCTTCAGCGCTTCATCATTGTTGTTTAACATCAGATTCAAATATCCGATGTTATTATGGCTTATACCTAAATGAACGTGATACGATGGGAGACTTTTCTTCTGTATTTCATGTGCTTTTATTGCGTACATAAGAGCTGTCTCATAGTTTAACATATTTGAATATGTTGTACCAATAGAACTGCAGATTAACGCCAAACCAGGATGCATTTTTGGCAATATTTTCTCTCGTATATTCAAGCATTTTTGCTTGTATTCAAGTGATGTTGGATAGTCTTTTTTCTCGTCATATAAATTACCCATGTTTTGGTAAATTGCAGCAACTTTTATGTGATGTTCACCATAAATATGAAGTCGAATCTCAAGAGCTATTGAGTAATGCTGGAAAGCTGTGTCAAACACTCCCATGTCTTTATATGCATTACCAATATATAAGTGGTTTGTTGCAGTGTTTGGATGTTGCAGTAACAGTCTTTTGGCGTCAAGTTCAAGTGCACGCTCGTAATATTGAATGGCTGAATTTATCTCACATTTTCGATAAGCGATCATGCCCAATCCGGTATACGCGCCTCCTTCAGCTGAATCGATATCCAAATGACGTCTGAACATAACTTCGGCTTTATCTAGTTCGTTCATATGATATAAATGTTTTCCTAGTGAAACAAGATTAGCTTCTTCTAAATCTCTCTTATAGGAATCAAAAACATGTTTTAGTTCATGATCGTTGTCTCGGCACATAGTCAGTTTTATAACCCAAATCTTTTCTTCATCGTCGAAGGCTACATCGTGGATTTTGAATATGGCTCCTAGCATTATCAAAACTTCTTCTTCCGCATCTTGGAAATAGCTCACATGAAAGATGTCGGAATATGGTTTTGTATCTAAACGAGTATCGATTTCAATTTGAAATAAAACGGGTTGTTCTCCATGGGAACAGTTATCGCTTGTTGATGTAAACATTGAAGCGACGATTTTGTTTCAAGACGTTGATAAAAAACTATTCATGGATAAAAATTCTCCTACATTGTCTTTCAGTCGACTCAGCTCATCTGTCGAGATTATTTGACCGCGATAAACGCGTAAAATCGGCTCATTTCGATTCAGAGTTTCAAAAAACTTTGTCTGTTCTCTATTCAACTGATCAAATATATCTTTTATGAAGAAACGAAAGGATATTAAAATATTCAAATCTTCAGTGCGCAGTGCTTTATTTAGTAATCGATATAAACATGAATCTCGAGTGTACCAGCGTATTGAGTCCAGCGGATCATAGTTTATATTGAACTCATATAGTAGCTTTGAGACGCAAGTATTACCATGGTACAACTGCTTACACATATCTATAAAATCTTTCTTCCCGGTCAGGGAATGTTCCATACGTAACAGAACGTCGATGAATAGTTGAAACCACATAAAGGAACCATTGAGAGATGTAGAAGATTGTTCCGATCGATTACAAAAACTGACTGGCGTTGGTGATTCCTGCTCAATCTTCATCCGCCATTTTCGATCGTTTGACACTCGTTTAATCGACTTCTTGTCACCATCGCGAAGTACCGAATGACTACCACGTTTCATATTTACTTTCTAAATGAAACTTAAAAATATATTAACTATATTCGTGAAAAGAAGTTTGTCTTGTAACTAGAAAAAGCTAAAAAATTTGTTTTGAAAATAATTAGATGCCATACTATTCATCTAGTACAAAACAGAAGTATACATACTCATTTTAATTTGTCCCGGCAATAGTAAATACAAAAATGATATTTGCTTTTTCTTTTATGCAGAATAAAAATGTAAAGAAATAGAAATGAAAATATGACTTTATATACATATATGATATAGCTTGTTTTGTACATTATTTTTTTGTTTTTAGAGGACCCCAGTCAAAAATTCATCGAAAACATTCTTTTGTTAAAAACATTGGAGTGGCACATGATTCGATTCTGTAGTGTGTGCTGATTCCAAATATGCCTTCATCTTCCATTGAAAAGGTACAGGAAGTGAGAAAAATACAAATAAACAGACTACCTCTTTGCTGTGCCACTCCGATGTTTTTAACAAAAAAATGTTTTCGATGAATTTTTGACTGGGGTCCTCTAAAAACAAAAAAAAAAATTACAAAAAATAAAAAAAAAAAATTAAAA